ACAGAAACTAATAGAGGTGGTCTGCCATTGCCTGTCTCTGCGTAGCAACCCTGGACGTCCCTGGTGGTCTCCCATCCATGTACTTACCAGGGCTGACCCTGCTTAGCTTCTGAGATCTGACAAGATCAGGCCGGCCTGGCCCATCTAGATCAGGGCAGACATTCAGGGGTGATTTGCCATTGCCGGCCTCTGCGTAGCAACCCTGGACTTCCTTGCTGGTCTCCCATCCAAGTACTGACCAGGGCTGACCCTGCTTCGCTTCTGAGATCTGACAAGATCAGGCTACCTTGGGATATCTAGGTTGAGGCAGAGACTAATAGAGGTGGTCTGCCCTTGCCTGCCTCTGCGTAGCAACCTTGGACTTCCTTGGTGGTCTCCCATCCAAGTACTGACCAGGGCTGACCCTGCTTCGCTTCTGAGATCTGACAAGATCAGGCTACCTTGGGATATCTAGGTTGAGGCAGAGACTAATAGAGGTGGTCTGCCCTTGCCTGCCTCTGCGTAGCAACCTTGGACTTCCTTGGTGGTCTCCCATCCAAGTACTGACCAGGGCTGACCCTGCTTCGCTTCTGAGATCTGACAAGATCAGGCTACCTTGGGATATCTAGGTTGAGGCAGAGACTAATAGAGGTGGTCTGCCCTTGCCTGCCTCTGCGTAGCAACCTTGGACTTCCTTGGTGGTCTCCCATCAAAGTACTGACCAGGGCTGACCCTGCTTCGCTTCTGAGATCTGACAAGATCAGGCTACCTTGGGATATCTAGGTTGAGGCAGAGACTAACAGAGGTGGTCTGCCCTTGCCTGCCTCTGCGTAGCAACCCTGGACTTCCTTGGTGGTCTCCCATCCAAGTACTGACCAGGGCTGACCCTGCTTCGCTTCTGAGATCTGACAAGATCAGGCTACCTTGGGATATCCAGGTTGAGGCAGAGACTAATAGAGGTGGTCTGCCATTGCCTGCCTCTGCATAGCAACCATGGACTTCCTTGGCGGTCTCCCATCCAAGTACTGACCAGAGCGAACCCTGCTTGTCATCCGTGGTCTCATGAGATTGGGCTAGCCGGGGCCACCAAGATCAGTGCTGAAGAAATGTCACGATCTGAAAACTGGCATGACGGAGGCAAGGGAAGGGAGAGAAATGGGAGACAGGATGGAACAAGGAGGGGGGGAAAATCTGTGTTCGTTTCATGTACCTATATTTTGGCTTAGTTTCCATACAGTTGAGGCATTAATGGGTTGTAGAATGAGGCATCGCTTTACTAGCCTTGTTTAAATCACATCATCACCATGAAAGTCAGTTTTCGGGGAAAGGTCTTCCCAGAAAATTATTTTCAGAGGGCTGCCCTGCTGGTCTGTAGTAGATTTGAGTCCAGTAGCACTTTAGGGACTGTTCCGAGGGTGGGACTCCTGCGGGCCTCCCCCCCCCATTGCTGGCCACCGATCCACTGCCCGAGAGCTCCGAGGCGACCAGCTGCACACCCACGTGGAGGTTCAGAGTGTCAGGACAGGGGGTGGCGAAGGAGTCAGGTGGAGGCGCAGCAACGCCACGTCCCCTCAGCCCACATTGCCCCAGGGGCCGGCTGCTGCGTGGTGATGGAGGGGGAGCTCCCCTGGGGGGCGGAGACAGCCACACACGGGCCTATGGCCTGGCGCAAGGGCCCAAATGCATCTCCGGATCCAGCGTCCTGGGCACACCCCACCCAGGAAGAGATGCCTGGTGCCAAGGCCCCACCCAGGGATCAGCATCCTTCTTTAAATGCAGAGGCGGGGCAGCAGGGGGAAGGGCAGGGGCGGCTCAGGGGAGCGAGGAAGGCGATAAAAGGAGAGCAGTGCAAGAGGGCCAGGGAGGATTGCCCTGAGGTGTGCAAGCCACGGCCAGAGAGAGGGAAGGCAGCAAGCAACCCAGGCGAAGTGTGGAAGCAGGGTGTGGTGCCCCCTTTCCCCATTCAAGCAACTGAGACCCCAGCTGCTCTCTAAGACGAAGGGTCCCTAAGGTGGCTAAACTAATCCAAGGAGGGGGGGGGGGGGTCAGCCGAGTCGTGCGACAGGGACCAAGGCATGTTTCACACGTTAAAGCAAACCGCAATTTGTGTTTTTCTCCACAAGCCAGGACTAAACCACTGTTGGAATCTTGAATCTGGTGTGTCACCATGGTGGCCTGAAGCGGCAGAACAAAGTTTGAGTCCCGTGGCACCTTTAAGACCAACAAAGTTTTATTCAAGGTGAGCTGAAGAAGTGTGTGTGCACAGGAAAGCTCACCTTGAATAAAAACTTTGTTGGTCCTAAAGGTGCCACTGGACTCAACGTTGTTCTGTTGGAATCTCGGTTTGCCAGGAAAGTGTAAGTTTCCCAGTTCTAACATAGCAGTGAACCAAGGTTTGCTACAGAATCAGGACTAATTCAGTCAGTTGTCCTCATAAAGAGCGGGGGAGGGTGCCCAAGAATCCCCAAGGCATGTTCCTATAGCAGCCCCCCTCCTTGGTGTGTTGTGACATCAGAAACACTTCCTAGATATAAGCCTGTTGGCATTCTCTGAAATATTTGTGTCTAAAACTTCCCCTTTGCTTCCTTGTCCAAGTATTCCAGAAAAGGGGGGAGTGGGGGTATATGACTGGCTGAGGAGAAATTGTATGCCCTATGGGTGAACAGGAAAAATCCTAACATATCAGTTTCTTGACTTTTCAAAGCTAAAAGGCACACATTTACCTACTCACCCCCTGCCCACCACTAATGGAAATTGCTTAAGATAATGCTTGCACATTGGGTTGACAGTGACTCTGTCTGCTTATAAAAGTCTCTATCCATTAATTTATAAAATTATGATAAACTAGCAGTAAAGCCCATAGTAAAAGCAATATAACGAGCTCTAGAAAGATGTGTTGTGTAACAAATGTATCAGCTGGAAGCAGGTTAAGTACATATTAGCAGTATCTCTCCTTATATATAATTGGATAGTGGGTGCCAAAGTTCTAATTCCAAAATGCACTCCCTTAGTGTATGGCTGATGGCACTGCTCCTCAGCATATATTGCCACCAATCAGAAGGCAAAGCCCGGGTCCCGCCCACACCACAACTGCTTCGACAACCTGGTCTTTTGCATATGGAAGCTGATTGGACTTCACTCCATTCCGCTCTCCCTTCCCCACCCCCAAACCCCCCCCCCCCGCAAGGCAGTTGGAATGTCAGTTGCATATGGAATCTGCTGTATTCCGGTGGTGTGCAGGTCCCAGATTCATGTTTTAAAAGCAGACTGACACTGTTTGCCCAAAGCCAGAGCACTCTCCCAGAGCCTCTTTCTAGATCTCGTTGTTTTTATTTCCACAACGGGCCTTATTTCTAGTGTAATAGAAAGGCACAAATGTGGAAGTAAAGTATTATTATTATTTATTAATTTCGATTTATATCCTGCCTTGCCTGCATACCTTTTATTACACAATAACTGGTGTCCAAGGTCACACAATGTGGGCCAGAAAATGAAGCACACAGGGCTCTGTGAAGTATTCTAAAACTGGGCAGTCTGCAAAGTCATTTTATGTTCTGGGTGTGCTTAAAGGTTCCCCCCACTCACAGGGTTTATCCCAGTGTCGCACACTCTCTGTATTTTTTAATGTATATGTCATTCTCCACATCAGCCAGTTGTTCCTGCACTCCTCCTGTTTGTGCATGCCTACGTAGATTTGTCTGTGACTGTGTCTGTATTTCTGCTTTGCAGCATGCCTCGGGTTTTTGGCTTCCTGTTTTCTGTGTGTCTGGTCCCATCCTCTATCTCTGCTTGTGTGTGTATCCACTGGCTTCCATCTTCTGAGGAACATTTTGGCGGGCGCTGCCTCTGTGGGCGGGACTCAGGCAACACAACCAGTGGATAGGGACAGCTTCTGAGTGACACATCATGGAGCCAACTGATTTAGAGGCGTGTGGAATGTTCAGAAAGTGCCACCCCACTACTCAGTTATATATACGGAGAGATAGGAATGGATGCTGGAATCTACTTCGATGAAACAGAAGAGGTTGTTTTGCCACTTGTTCTGAATTACACACCTACAAAAGAAGCATATTTTGTATGCCACTCGGAAAAACATGTTTTAAAATATGGCTTATTCTTGAATGTCTGGCTTTGGGCTGTCCCTAAAGTTTAGTTTCATCATATCACCACCCTTTCTGACCTGAACTTCTATCCGTGGTTCTTCAGGTCACATCTCTTGGGGCGGAGCCTAAAGATGGTGGGGTTTGGGGAGGGGAGGGACTTCAGTGAGATATGATACAATAGACTCTACTTTCCAAAGCAGCCATTTTTTCCAGTTGAACTGATCTTTGTAACCTGGAGATCAGCTGTAATGGTGGGAGATCTCCAGCCACTGCCTGGAGGTTGGCAACCAGAGGAGGAACTTCTGTGGAATATAATGTCATACAGTCTACCCTCCAAATTTGCCATTTTCTCCAACTGATCTCTGTAGTCCAGAGTGCAGTTGTAGTCCCAGATCTCCAGGCCCTATCTGGAGTTGGCTATCCTGTGTTATTCTGCCTTGACTGCTGTTTTGAAATTCTGTGGGGACAAGTTTTTGGCTTTGTAAACAAAAGTACAGGAAAGAAGGGGGGAAACAAGTTGTGTTTTTTTGTGTTTTTTAAATGTGTTTATTACAAGGAAGGTAGACTGAGAAACAATCGTGGCCGTTTCAGGTTCGTGCCAAGTTTAAACAAAAGATGTATTTTCTTTTATAGAACAAAATGAAAAGCTGACGCAGGAGAATAAAGATCTGCAGCTACACTATCTGGAGCAGAAGCAACAGCTGGATGAACTGAAAAACCGCATGAAGTTTTTCACCAAGGTGAACTCTTTTTGACTGTTTAGAGAATGGCCAGAAAGAGAGAGAGAAGTTTTTCTATATTTTATGCACAAAGCAAAAATCTCTTTTCTTAAAAGCCAAAGAATGCAGGCATATGACAGATTTTACTTATTCATGATATCCAGCAAAATGTCATGTTTAGTGAGAATGCACACCGTGTATCCTTAGTGTATCGCTCCATTATTCATTCGCAGTGAACAACACCATCCTATTGACTCTGTCTCTGTTTTAGGAGAGCGACATCGACGTGGCAGAACTCACTGAGGCTCTCCTGCTTCTAAAGGTAACTTTGCAAAAACTAATCCTATTTTCACGCTTGTCTTGTACCGTTGTTTTAAACCCTCTAATACCCCTTGTGAGCATTATTCTTCAAGCACACGGTTTTCCAGAAGGGTTGGTCCTTGCACCAGCTAATGTGTCTTGCTTCTGCAATATTGGACCGGTTTCCTTTCAGAGCAGAGGAGCGTGAGAAAGTCAGAAAAAGACGGTGGGGCTAAAACTTTTTTTTTCTTTAGATCTGTACATATTTCATTATGACATCAAAAGTGAATTATCCGACCCTTCAAGCAATGCTTTAAAGCTTTTCTCTCCCCCTCCCCTTGATTGTTAGAATAAAAGTAATTGCTTTTTTCTGTTATCACATTGTCCTGTTAGAGGTCTGATAAAAACCAACTTTTTGTTTACAGATTTGGAAGGACATAAAAAATAATTCTGATGGCTATAAAAGCAGAGGCCAAACTAAAATGCCGTGTGTTTGAAACATGTAATGTGGTTCTTGTTTCTTTCCTCGCTGTACCCGAGTACCTTCTTCTAGCTGATGTATAAAAACACAGTTATGGGGATAAAAGTATATTTCCACTTAGTTTGTAATTCTGTTGTTAGCAACAATATTGCAGAGAAGAACAAATCTAAAAAGATTTGATTCCCCCCATTACCACTTACATGTTTACTTTCACATACAACTACACGCAAGTCATTTTTATGGCAAAGAGAATTCTTCCCCCATTCTTCCTTCAACATGAATAAAAAATGAGATATATGTAGAAAAAGTATTCTAGAATTATTCTAGCAGTGTTATATAAGGGGTGTTATCCCAAAAATACAAAGGGCACCCATCTTTTTCCTGGGGCAGTGGAGGAGTCATGGGGTTGGCTATAGGGGTGTGCAGGAAAAAATTATACCCGGATTCGGGTATAATAAAGTCAGATATTTTCAGGATTCCCGAATATACCCGAATACCAATGCTGGTATTGTATTGGTACCCAAAAATTTTCAGGTCCATTATATTCTATGGGGCCGTTGTAGTCAATGGCAAAAATCCTCTAACAGGTATTCAGGGGGTTTGGGGGAGGGGGTTTGAGGTAGAAACCCCAAATTGGTACTGTAGCTGTTGGAGCCTCTCCCCAAAAGACCTCCCAAGTTTGGGAAAGATTGGATCAGGTGGTCCAATTCTAGGGGCATCCAAAGAGGGTACCCCCAATCCTCTGTTGTTTCCTATGGGGATGGGAAAAGGGCAGGCAACAGTGTCTCCCCAAGAATCTCTCTGCAAGAAAGTAAGTGAGGTGTGGTGGTGTGAGGGGGCATGTTTGCCAGGCCAGCAGCAGAACCTGTGCAGTGGTCCCCCACAGAACCAGTACCACTGTGGCAGTCAGTGCCCAAACCCAACAGGACTCAGGTCAAATCAGAGAATCTCTGGGGACATTTGACCTGAGTTCTGTTGGGTTTGGGCACTGACTGCCACACTGGCACTGGTTCTGGGGGGGGCACACTGCATTGGTTCTGCTACTGGCCTGGCAAATATGCCCCCTCACACCACCACACCTAGTTAGCTATCAGGCTACCAGTCTGCTTCTGAGCCCATATCAGGGGATTGGTTTTGACCTTTAAAGCCCTACGTGGCTTGGGACCAGGGTATCTCTGTTGGGATATCTGGCTAATATAGAAGAGTTTGCTCAGTCATGGAAGTGTGATACTGAGTGCAGAAAATAAACCTCCCAAGAAGGAGCAGAGGTCCATCAGTGGCTATTAGCCACAAGGTATAGATAGGGACTCTGGGTCAAGTGATGCTCTGTCATCTTGGTGCTTGGGGGGGTCAATAGTGGGAGGGCTTCTAGTGTCCTGGCCTCACTGGTGGACCTCCTGATGGCACTGGTATTTCTGGCCACTGTGGGATACAGAGTGTTGAACTGGATGGGCCTTTGGCCTGATCCAACATTGGCATCTCTTATGTTCTTATGTTATGAGAGAATTAGATAAGCATCTGGAGCAGAGGTCCATCAGTGGCGATTAGCCACAAGGTATAGATAGGGGCTCTGGGGCAAGTGATGCTCTGTCTGCTTGGTGCTTGGGGGGGGTCAACAGTGAGAGGGCTTCTAATGTCCTGGCCCCACTGGTGGACCTCCTAATGGCACTGGTATTTCTGACCAGTGTGTCACAGAGTGTTGGACTGGATGGGCCTTTGGCCTGATCCAACATTGGCATCTCTTATGTTCTTATGTTATGAGAGAATTAGATAAGCATCTGGAGCAGAGGTCCATCAGTGGCGATTAGCCACAAGGTATAGATAGGGGCTCTGGGGCAAGTGATGCTCTGTCTTCTTGGTGCTTGGGGGGGTCAACAGTGGGAGGGCTTCTAGTGTCCTGGACCCACTGGTGGACCTCCTGATGGCACTGGTATTTCTGGCCACTGTGGGACACAGAGTGTTGGACTGGATGGGCCTTTGGCCTGATCCAACATTGGCATCTCTTATGTTCTTATGTTCTTAAGTACATTGCAAAAAAGGTAAACTTAGATCTATTCAAGTAGATCCAGTTCACATTCAGGTTGCCATTGAAAGGAGAGAAAGAAGCCTAATCCGGGAGAGAGGATCTGCCCCAGCTCTGTGCTGGGTTTTACACTGGTGACAAAACCTGGGCTCGCCTCTGCATCCTGTGTGAACTGACCCTTAAGTCCCGTCAAACGAGTGGGACATTTCCAAGTAGACAGGTGTAGACCCCGGCCGGCATGATAGGTTACCGAGTTCCGAACTGCCTTCATTTTCTTCTTGAAAGCCCCGAGAAATTGAGAAGACTGGTTTCCGAGCGGAGACTTATCGTAATGCTGGAAAACGAGAGGTCCATCTGTTTCAATTAAAATGTAACTCTTTTCCCCAAAAAAATTAAACAAAAATCTAATTATGAAGCTGTCAACTTTTGCGGCTCAGGCTCGGCGGCAGCAGGCGAGTGGCAACCTCACGTTTCTGGAGCAGGTCGATGAAGACATTCACAAAGACTTGGAACGGTCCATGCGGGAGCTCCAAGCAACCCACGCAGAAACCATTCAAGAGCTCGAAAAGACCCGCAATATGTTAATTGTACAGCATAAAATTAACAAAGACTATCAGGTATGTAATTCTCCCTCTCAGTGCAGTCGACTGCTGATATCTCTCTGGTTACGCCTTTTTTAAAAAATGAAATAGAATCTGGTTATTGAGATTAATGAATCCCAGGACTTTAGAAGGGCACTGCAAAACTTTACTATCGCAGTCAAGTTCTTTATTCTCACATTCGACCGAGAAACACCCACCCACCCCAATCCGCTGGAGCAAACCAATCCAAAGAGATCTGCCCAATGTGTGCAAAGTTGGCTTGTGATTTGCAGAGATTGGGCATGTTGAACCAGTACACCCTGCACTCCAAAATTAGTTTGAGTATTTCATTCATTGGAGCCAAACAGAAGGAAGGGGGATTAAAAATTAAAAAATTAAAAAATGAATGAATAGCACAACAGAGTGGTACAAACAACTCAAGGGAAAACGTCCCCTTCTTAGGGCTTAGTTCAGATTATACTCGAGAAGAGATCAAGGATGGGCCTCGGGCTTGTCTATTCTCTTAAAAGGGTGGCTCCCCTTTTGTTGTGGGAGCTGTTGGAGTACGGAAATCCTGCGTTCAAAACCTCCCTGATTCTGGGTCATAAAGCTTACTCGCTAGAGAGTTTTATCTTGCAAGACCGGCGGAATGTTGAATGCAGGATTCATCCCTCACAAGTTTATTTGCTCACTTTCCAGTGCAGTGAAGGAAATGGGAGAGGGCGTTCAAGCCCTACTGTCATTCTTTTCCCCCTCAGGTATAGTTGCAAGGGAAGGCAGCATCCAAAACGGGGCTCGGTCTCATCCCGTTCCATTTGTCAAGCGTGTCTCGAAAATTCACACAACATGTTAGGTTGGCTACCTGCAGCTGGGTGCATCGTTTAAACTTAAAGCGGCCTTTCTGAGGGAGACGGCATTTTGAATAGGGGGCCTGGTACAGTGGAGGAAGAGATGCTTAACTTGGGGAGGGGGGATCTATCGGGAAAGGGCTCAGTGGGAAGGCCCCTCTGTCCTCCCCCCACTCACACAACTGCTTTTGAAGTTTAAATTATACGTTGGGAAATCCAGTCACAGATCCCTAACATCACATTTCACTTGATCCAGGGATTTTACAGAGATAACAAGAGAGAATTGCACAGTGGGTGCCTGCCTACTCATATTCCTTTGACTATTCTGTCTGTCCTCAGGCAGAAGTGGAAGCGGTAACAGAGAAGATGGAGGCGCTGCAGCAAGATTACGAGTTAAAGTTGGAACAGTACGTCCATCTCCTTGACGTTAGGGCTACGCGGATCCGTAAATTAGAAGGTACGTTGATCAGAACGTGGATCTCAGTGGTGGGAAATCCTTCAGTGCTTTCCGCTCCAAGGCAGGTTGTTCTGCACCTCACCGTAGAGCACTGCTAGAATAAATCCAGTAGCATTCTTTCATTTCTACAAGAGAAGAAGAAGAGAAGAGATTGGATTTATACCCCGCCCTTCACTACTCGAAGGAGTCTCAGAGCGACTTACAAACTTCTTTCCCTTCCCCTCCCCACAACAGACACCCTGTGAGGTAGGTGGGGCTGAGAGAGCTCTTTCAGGAACTGCCCTTGAGAGAACAGCTCTGAGAGAACTTGTGACTGACCCAAGGTCACACCGGCAGCTGCATGTGGAGGAGTGCGGAATCAAACCCGGTTCTCCCAGATTAGAGTCCACGCTCTTAACCACTACACCAAACTGGTGTAGAGCTTGAGCCGGCCACTGCTGAAGGCACTGCGACAGCTCCTTGCATACGTGTTGACCCTGGTGACTTCTTCTCCACTCACACTTCTTGAGATCCCGTCCCCCATTAGTGTAACTTCACAAAGACATTGATTTTTGTTGTGGAAGGTCCCATTTGCCACCCCCTCCTCCTCATCGCAATGATTCTATCAGTTAGGCTGCTTTGTGCATAGCACATATGAGGGAGAGAAGGTGGCTTACTCGAGTCTGTCTTGTCATGGTTAACATGGAATTTGAACACCGACCTCCCAGGCTAAAGCCTTTTGCTGATAATCAGCTGAATGTCTGGATGTGGTTTTTTAAAACCATTTGCCCCTTCATAAAAAAAATGTATGGAGCTTCAACCGAGCTGATTATTCTAGTTGTTTATATGCCTTGTGATACATTAAGTCACAAAACATGAATTGACTTCCGGTGACTTCATCCAGGTTGGATCCAGCGGCTCCCATCTGTGAAACCTTTCCTCGCTGGAGGAAGTGTGTTTCCATCGGATCCAGCTTGGCAGCAAGGAGCCATTGGCTTAGATCCAGCAATGCACAAGCAGAAACACCAATGCACTTCATCCTGTTCCGCTTGCTCAAAATTTCATGCACTGCCTGGCACTCTCATCCCCATATATTATAGTGCACCGAAATCGGCTGCGCACAGTCTTGCGCAAGTGGAAACGCAACTGTGGGGATACGATAAGCCTGACTTAGCCCAAGAGGCTTCCGCAGTCTTTTCCCTGCCTTACTCTCTTACGTAAGAGCTCTGGTGCAAACAGAAATTTTGTACTGGATCCAGAGGTCATTGCGGGGGATTGCAGTTCCCCCAGGTGAGGTACGGGGGGCGGGGCACATGACGAAGCCCCGCCTCCTGCTTCCGGCCGCCCCGCTTCCGGCCCTCATTCAGCCAGGAGGAGGCAGGAGAAGAGGGAGGGTAAGTTGCTTCCTCCCTGCCTCTCCCCACCCCTGCCTTCCTGGGGCCAGGGAGGGCCTTCGTGGGGCTTCCTTGCACTCCCGCCGGCCTTGCAGGTCCACCGCCGGGCCCCTCATGGGGCTCGGCAGTGGAGCTGCAAGGCCGGCGGCGGCCGGGACCGTTGGGGGCGGGGTGTGTGGCCTTATGACATACTTCCGGTGATGTCAGGGGGTGTGGCCTTATGACACACTTCCGGTGATGTCAGGGGGTGTGGCATATGCTAATGAGTTATGCTAATGAGTTCCCCTAGCTCTTTTTCTACGAAATGACCCCTGACTGGATCCAACCGATTGAATCCAACTTGGTGGAAGGGAGTCGTTAGAGTCAATCCGTGGTCCTTGGTTTGGGGGGCAGATGGGAAGGAATAAAAACAATAAAAGAGAAATTAAGTCCTTTATGCTTCTTTGCCTCGTAGCCCAGCTGAAGGATATCGCTTATGGAACCAAGCAGTACAAATTCAGGCCCGAAATCATGCCGGATGATCCGGTTGATGAATTTGACGAAACCGCCCACTTGGAGCGGGGGGAGAACTTGTTCGAAATCCACATCGGCAAAGTGATATTTTCCACAGAAGCCGTCAAGGCTTTCCGCGATCAGGAGCCTGCAACTTTCTGTACCTACTCGTTTTACGATTTTGAACTGCAGACGACTCCAGTTGTCTGGGGCCTAAACCCAGCCTACAATTTCACTTCTCAGTATCTTGTGCGGGTGGATGACTTCTTTTTGCAGTACGTGCAGAAGAACACTGCCACGCTTGAGGTACACCACGCCTACGGCGTGGACTTTGAAACAGCTGCTGCCTGCCAGCTCAGGTTCCACGAAATATTGGAGAAGAACGGCAGAATCTACGGTTCGGCCATTTTAGTCGGTAAGTGTCAGATAACACCCCTTGCAAGATGCGGTGTCACTCGTTGGGGTGTGGGGGTGTGGGTGCAGGGGTGCACGCGATGCAAAGACGACAGAATACAAACGGCTGCAGGAACTGATCTGAAACCTCTCGGCTTCCCAGCATTTATTTATAAGCTCAGTTTTCCCCCATTTCCTCCCCCCCTCCTCTCTTCCTCCGTCTATCTGCGTAGAGGAAAGTTTCAAGCATTCTAGCATCCTTAAGGAATGTTTGTGTGTGTGTGTGTGTGTGTGTGTGAGAGAGAGAGAGAGAGAGAGAGAGAGCTCTCTGTTATCTCTGCCAAGGTCACAACACTGACTGCGTAGGTAATCACCAGACTTCTCATGCTGTTAGCACACAAATACCTCTGGGTTCCCAATATCCAGGCAGGAGAATCCCCTTGCACTGCCCTACAGCAATATGCATTGGTTTATCAGGAATGTTTGAAAGGCTGAGTAAACAATCAGCGATTACACAGTAAATGGCCGTTCTTAGTTGGTGGAGCGATTTGTCTGGTTAATTCCGATAACGAACGAGACTCTGGCATGCTAACTAGTTATGCGACCCCCGAGCGGAGCTCTTCCACCAGGCCTTTGGGTAGGAGCCGCCGCCGCCGCTATACCACCACCGTGACGATATTATCCATCTATCACATCTTGGGGAGCAGACGTTGCCCAACTGTGCTGTGAAAAACTGCTCCTGGCGCTCTCGTCTTTAAGAGTATTAGCTGCTAAATGTGGGTTGCTGTGTTTTGTGTAATTCTATGTAGGTTTTTGTGGCACCAGATTTTACTATATGTGTAACAGTGTTTTATTGTACTCAATTTTTAAACTTGTTGTTAGCCGCCCTGAGCCATTGGGTAGGGTGGCATAGAAATCTCAAAAATAAATAAATAAAAATATAAATAAATAAACATGATAAGACCAAAAAAAACTGTGCAGAAGGACACTAAGAATAGAACAGAATAATAAAACAATTTAATAATGCATAATAACAATATAGCATTGTAATTCAACTAAGAATACTACATACGTAGTATTTACAAAAATCCATCAGGTAAAGCCACTATTTTTTCAATAATCCAACGGGTAACTCTTCAACAATTCAACAGGCAAGTCTACAGTTTTCTGATAATACAACAGGTAAGTTACAATGAACCTAGTAGTAATTCAACTAAGAGTACTACATATGCAATGTTTACAAAAAATCCCACAGGTGAGTCCACTATTTTTACAGGTAAATTTTCAACAATCCAACATGTAAATCTGCAGTATTATTAATCCAGCAGGTAAGTCTACAATGGATATGGATAAACACTGCCTATGTAGTATTCTTAATTGAATTACTACTCGGTTCATTGTGACTTACCTGTTGTATTATCAGAAAATTGTAGACTAACCTGTTGAATTGTTGAATACTCACCTGTTGGATTATTGAAAAAAATGTGGATTTACCTGTTGGATTTTTGTAAATACTAGATTTGTAGTATTCTTAGTTGAATTACTACCAGTTATATTGTTGTTAGTAAAGGTAAAGGTTTCCCTTCCTCGAAAGCCAGTCGAATCCAACTCTAGGCGGTGCTCATCTCTGTTTCCAAGCCGAAGAGCCAGCGCTGTCCAAAGACATTTCCATAGTCATGTGGCCAGCATGACTAGACGCCAAGGCGCACTGAACGCTGTTACCTTCCCACCAAAGCGGTGCCTATTTATCTACTTGCAATTTCTTTCGAACTGCTAGGTTGGCAGGAGCTGGGGCCAGATACGGGAGCTCACTCCGTCATGCGGCACTCGGGTCTCGAACTGCCGAACTACCAACCTTCTGGTACGCAGCTCAGCGACTTAACCACTTGAGCCACCGCAGCCCCCTCCTATTGTTGTTACTCATTAGTAAATTGTTTTATTATTCTGCTCTATTCTTTGCGTCCTTCTGCACATGTTTTTTTTTTGGTCTTATCGTGTTGGAAAGGCTGTCGGGCTCTCAGAGCGGCTCATGACAAACCATAATAGAATCCTAAATATGGTACGTTAATTAGTTCCAGTAGAAATGGCTTTAAAATTGGCGTGGGCGAGAGGATGGATATTTTCCGTAATAGCCGCACAGCTGTGGGACGAACTGCTGGAGAAAAATGTGACGGCTCCCAGTCCTTTAGGAAACTCTGCAGGGCGTGGCTCGTCAACACTAGCATGTGGATCATTTTAAGAGGCAGGATGGGATACATTTGGTGGGAACCAATTCCATTACACATGGAATTCACTGCCACAGGAGGTGTCGGCGGCTACAAGCATGGACAGCTTCAAGAGGGAATTAGATAAGCATATGGAACAGAGGTCCTTCAGTGGCTATTAGCCACAAGGTATAGATAGGAACTCTCAGTCTGGGGCAAGTGATGCTCTGTATTCTTGGTTCTTGGGGGGGGGGACAGTGGGAGGGCTTCTGATGTCCTGACCCCACTGCTGGACCTCCTGATGGCACCTGGTGTTTCTGGCCACTGTATGACACAGAGTGTTGGACTGGATGGGCCGTTGGCCGGATCCAACATTGGCTTCCCTTATGTTCTTATAAGAGGGAATTAGATAAGCATATGGAACAGAGGTCCTTCAGTGGCTATTAGCCACAAGGTATAGATAGGAACTCTCAGTCTGGGGCAAGTGATGCTCTGTATTCTTGGTTCTTGGGGGGGGGGACAGTGGGAGGGCTTCTGATGTCCTGACCCCACTGCTGGACCTCCTGATGGCACCTGGTATTTTTGGCCACTGTGTGACATAGTGTTGCACAGTCTGATCCAACACTGGCTTCTCTTATGTTCTTATGACCATTTCTGGAAATAAAGGAGTTCATTGGAACAAAGAGTTCTAATTTGGGAAGGATTTTATCGTGTGGCTTATTGGAGCGTATTTGTAGTATCGAATAGGTTTGCTGTTCTGAGCCACTCTAGCTTTG